ACAACATCCACTTTGTGTGGAACACTATGAAGTTGATGTACATTGGTCTATGCTCTTGAATTTGGCATACATTTTACGTTTGGAGTGGAATAGTTGTGTAAAATATATTGAATCAAACAGCAATCCCTTGGCGATAGTGGACCTCAACGAAAGTACTGATGATGCCGATTATGTTACAAACTCGCAGATCGATGCCATCGAGTTGACATACATACGTTGTCATCAATATTTGGCCAATAAATTGAATAATGAGGTGTATATAAAGCACAATGCATTTTTGCTGGGGCTTAGTACCGCATTCAATACAAGTTTACCATATTAAAATGGAATTTATTTTCATTTTTATGCAGTGCTTCAGTTGAATTATAAGTTATTGTTGAAATTTTCAAAACATTAATTAATGGAGAACTAAAATATGTGAATACTTTTTGGTATTGCTTTAAATAATTGAAATACAAAGTGTTAAATACGTATTCGACCTTTTTTAATTCATAATTGGACCTCTAAAAAAANCTTAGAAGAAATGCAGGATCTCTATGGGCGCTCGATTATATTAGCTTTTATATTATCACTGCTGGCTGAGATTTATCGTTTGCGTGCAGGCTATAAAGGCAACTTGATGGCAGATGATCAGTGAACTGAGCATCTTTCTTGAAAATCAATTATAATATAAAAACAAACACGCGAGTTGCTACAAATTGCCGCCTCAAATGCGGACAGCGATTGTGATCGACATGTAGAGCAATTTCTCAATGGTAAAATCGATGTACAAACATTTTTAAATAATTATACGCATTCAAAGAAAGTAAGCGCCGAACGCAAAGCCAAAGAAGAGCGCTTGGGTCACCAACTTAGCGCATTGGAACGTGCCGGCATTTAAAAAATAGCTAATATTAGACAAATGGTATTGTAAAGTAGCTATTAGACATGGCAAGAGCGAGTAGTTTCGAAAAGTCTGGCACACTCAAGAATTTCCAAAAGAGTTTGCGGAAGCAGATATAAGCCGTGCTCAGAAATGCATCAACAAAACATTAGTCGCTTTTATTACCACGCTTTATCAACTTGTTTGTTTTTATATTATAATTGATGGATCCAATATGCGCAACCCCGGTTAAATACCGAATTGAAATTTATGCCGATTTCGTTTTTGCCAAGAAATGCAACCTTCTCTTTGCCAAACACAGCCACATCTAGTATTTAAAGTGACTTTGGAAAGCAGTTATTAATTTTCGAAAATAGAACTTTCTGATACAACTCTTTAGGCGGATTCACCGTTCGTGTCCGGACACTTTTTGTTAGTAATTTTACT